TACCAGGTATGAGGTGATCTCTCATTATAGTTTTGATTTGTATTTCCCTAATGAATGATGTTGAGCATCTTTTCACGTGTCTGTTGGCCATCTGGTTGCCTTCTTTGGAGAAATGTTTGTTTGTGTCTTCTGCCCAGTTAAATCAGATTATTTGCTTTCTGGGTTTTGAGTTGTGTAAATTCTTTATATATATTTTGGATACTGACCCTTTATCAGGTATGCCATTTGCAAATATCTTCTCTCAATCCATAGATTGAGTTTTGTTGACTGTTTCCTTCACTGTGAAGAGGCTTTTAATTTTGATGTAGTCCCAATAGTTTATTTTTGTTTTTGTTTCCTTGCCTCAGGAGACATATCTAGAAAAATGTTGCCACAGCTGAGGTAGAGAAATTACTACCTGTGGTCTCTTCTAGGATTTTTATGGTTTCAGGTCTCACATTTAGGTCCTTAATCCATTTTGAGCTTATTTTTGTATATGGTGTAAGAAAGTGGTCCAGTTTCATTCTTTTGCATGTAGGTACAGCCACTTTGGAAAACAGTTTGGCAGTTCCCTCGAAAGGTTAAAACAGACTGGCCCTGTCTAATCAGTTGACGGCCTGGCTAGCATGAAAAAGCTGATCCTCCCCTGAGTAAGAGACAGTTTGTCCTCCCTGATTGCCTTTGAACTGGGACATCAGCTTTTTTCCTGCCTTCAGGCTTAAATGGAGACATTGGTTTTTACTGGGTCTCGAGCCTGCCAGCCTTTGAACTAAAGCTACACCATTATCTCTCCTGGTTCTCAGGCCTTTGGACTTGGACGAGGATGTATACTGTCAGTTCTCTTGGGTCTCCAGCTTTCCCACTCACCCTGCAGATCTTGGGACTTGCCTGCCTCCATAGTCATGTGAGTCAATTCCTCATAATAAATCTCTTTCTATGTATAAATATATATACATCCTGTGGGTTATGTTTCTCTGGAGGAATCCTGTCTCATACAACTTTGCATCTTTAAAAAAGCAGCTCTTGACATGCTCCTAAGCCCTGGTAGAGATAAAATGTTTGGCTACCAAGTAATCATGGATCTGGAACTGCATTAACTGGTTCTGCCAGATCTATCAAGTTCTAACGTCGGACAAGCTCAACGGCAATCCCTTATGAGGTGGAAATGGTACATCCAAGATCAAGTCCAAGCAAGACCTGATGACATGAGTAAGGCTGCACATAACCACCATTGCACCAGTGCCCCTCCCTCCACTCATATCTAGGGTCATGTAGGGGTCTCTTATGACCTACAGAAGTAGGAAGAAAAAAAGCCCAACCTGGGTTTTTGGATGAGTGGGCTCAGGATAAGGATGCAACTTGAAAATGGATGGTGACTGTATCATAGCTATACTCAGGAGTGGCCTTGAAAAATGGTGACAATGGGAAATCTATGCAATAAACAAAGTCTGAGCTATGCTTTCCGGCTCCAAGAGCCTCTTCCAGGACCACTGTCTGGGGGCTTGTAGAATGCCTTATCCACAGGTATGTATTCCCACCAACATAGCATTTGAGCAGGGAACCCATTTCATAAGGAAGGAGATACAGGGGTAGCTCCTGGTCCTGGGGTCCAATGGTGTTATCCCATACCACACCAACCTGAAGCAAGCTGTCCTGGTGGAGAGTGGGAATGAGTTACTGAAGGCACAGCTGAAACGCCAGCTTGGAGGCCATCCTCTGCAGGATGAGGTCATCTATAAGGACACATATATACTCAATCGATGTCTATATGGCACTGTGTCCCCATGTAGTAGGAATACCTGGTTTTAGGAATCAAAGAGTGGTAGTAGAAGTGGTCCCACTTATTATCACTCTGGCCCTCTGCTACCTTTCTGATCTCCTTTCCTTTTTATCTTCCCTTTGCTCACTTTGTTGTAGCCACAAGCAATCTCCTTGCTGCTTAGTAAACATACACTTTCCGGACTAGGGTTCTTTCATCCAGCTTCATTAGATAGAAGGGGCAAGAAGACCAGCAGAAGTAACTCAGGTGGGAGCGATTCTAGATAAATGCCCTTTTTTGTACAGAGTTGATTGGTGAATTGTATGTTTACCTCTAATTTCTAGCACAAGTACCCTGAACTAGGGATTTCTCATCAATATTTTCCACTTACTCTTTGATTGGTGACCTGTAAGAAATTATTCAACAGCTTGAGAGAGAACACTGATACTTCCTGGAGAACCTACAAAGTTTCCATCTTGGATAATGATTGCTAATAATAGCAAACTTTTTTGGGGGGGGCATTAGGAAATTCCAAGCCCTGGGCTAAGACTTTTATGTACTTAAACTCATTCAATCTTTATAAAATCTCTAGGAAGGAGATATTGTTATCCTTATTTCATATATAAAGAAAGAGAGGCTCAGAAAGGTGAAGTGATTGGCCTCCGTCATACCTCTTGCAAGTGGACAGCGTTAAACACAGCTCTTTTTAAGTCTAAATCTATATTATTTCCTCAACAATTTGCTTCCCTTAAAGAGAAAGAGGTCATGATTACTCCCATTCGTCCATTTGTCCATTAATTCAATAAATGTTCACTGAGTGTTTATTATGTGTTAGGCGTTGGCCTAATTTTGCTGATTCAGTGGTGAAAAATGGCAGGATCCTTGCCTTCACAGAGGTCATACCCTAATGGTTTAGCAGGATCATGAATCTAAGGTGTGTCAGTTCTCAGAAGGGCAGCTGACACAGCATGTGCCAAGGCTGAACTTTTGCAGAGAGACTGACAACAACTATCTTTGACCTAGACCTTGGAGTCTAAATTGTCCATAGTAAATATATAACCATAGTTAAAACAATGACTTTTTAGCTTCACCAACTGTGAAATGGGTACGATAATAGACGGTAACTTGCCAAGTGATTGCAATCTCAAACAAGAAAATGTGTGAAAACTTTGGAAAACTGTGAAATAGTCAACAAGGAGGAAAGGACCTTGCTATATTCCTTATTTAAAAATCCAAACATAGGGGCACCTGGGTGGCTCAGTCGTTAAGTGTCTGCCTTTGGCTCAGGTCATGATCTCAGGTCCTGGGATTGAGCCCCTCATCGGGCTCCCTGCTTGGCGGGAAGCCTGCTTCTCCCTCTCCCACTCCCCCTGCTTGTGTTCCTGCTCTTGCTGTCCCTCTATCAAATAAATAAATAAATAATCTTAAAAAAAAAATCCAAACATAAACTAGAGAGAGTATTATAACAAACACCCAGATACCCATAAAAAAGTTTCAACCATTGTCAACTCAAGGCCAATCCTGTTTCATCTCTAGCCACCCTCTCCCTCCCATCACCCATTTTTTGGAAGCAAAGCCTTGATATCTTTTTATCTGTATATATATAGTCCAACACATATATTTCAAAGGAAGGGATTCTTTTATTTTTTTTTTAAAGATTTTATTTATTTGAGAGAGAGAGAGAGAGCATGAGCAGGCAGAGGGGTTGAGGGAAAGAGAGAAGCAGACTCCCTGCTGAGCAGGGAGCCCCATGTGGAGCTTGATCCCAGGACCCTGAGAGGATGACTTGAGCTGTAAACAGCCACTTAACGACGGAGCCACCCAGGCACCCCAGGAAGGGATTCTTTTAAAAAAACATAACCACAAATACTATTACCAATCCTAAAAACCTAAAAACAAAATTGATCTTAATTGCTTAATTTTATCAAATATCATAATTTGATTAGGGGTCATTATTTCTCTGATTTTCTCAAAAATGTTGAGATCAGTAGGTTTGAATCAATATTTAATAAGGTGCACATATTACAGTTGGCTGAGATGTCATTTTAAAACAAGTCCCTCCTATCCTCTTTTTCTTTTGATTTTTATTTTCCTGAAGAAACTTGTTCCTGTAGAACAGTGGTTCTCGAACTTTAGTGTGTATTAGTGTGCATCAATAAGCATTAGTGTCATCTGGAAAACTTGTTAAAAACATAGATTGCGGGGCGCCTGGGTGGCTCAGTCATTAAGCGTCTGCCTTCGGCTCAGGTCACGATCCCAGAGTCCTGGGATCGAGCCCCACATCGGGCTCCCTGCTCTGAGGGAAGCCTGCTTCTCCCTCTCCCAGTCCCCCTGCTTGTGTTCCCTCTCTCGCTGTGTCTCTCTCTGTCAAATAAATAAATAAAATCTTTAAAAAAAAACCAAAACAACATAGATTGCTGTATCCTGTCCTCACAGATTCTGATTGAGTACTGCATTTCTTTTTTTTAAAGATTATTTATTTATCTGAGAGAGAGAGAGAGGGAATGAGCAGGGGGAGGGGAGAGGGAGAAGCAGACTCCCCACTGAGCAGGGAGCCCAAGGTGGGGCTCCAACCCAAGAATCTGGGATCATGACCTGAGCCAAAGGCAGCTGCTTAACCAGCTGAGCCACCCAGGCGCCCCAAGTACTGCATTTCTAACATGTTCCAAGGTGATGCTGATGCTGGCTCGTCCGGGACTCTTTGAGAGCCACTGTTGTACCTATCCCAGTTGTACCTAGGATTTCCCTAATTGCATCCTTTGGTGAAGTCTTTCAACACGTTCATCTGCGCCTTATTTCTTGTTAAGGCAAACTTATTTAATTGCCTACAGTACAGCAGAATGGCCAAACTCAGGTTTTCAGTTAGATTCCCTGCCTTTAAATCTCGTTTTTGACACTTATTTGCTAGGTAACCTTGGGCAAGTCATTTAATTGCTTGGTGAACCCAATATTACAGGGTTCTTGTGAGGTTTAATGAGATTTCAAAAAGTTAAGTGCTTAGTTAGCACCCTGCCTAGCAGTTAGCAAATGTTTAACAAATTTGATTATCATTTTTCAACCAAGAAATAAAAATGGGACTCATAGTCGGCTGGAAATCCTTGAATTTTGTAGGGTTTTGTGTTTTAAAGTCAGCGGAGCCAAAGAGGGGTGCTCCAAAGGAGAGGTACCCAGAAAAAATTGAAGAGAGCTACTCCGAGGACGCCTCAAAAATCAACCCAAGGTTGGCCCCTTTAAGGAGGGCGGGGCCACGTGACCTAGGGGGTCACATGGCTCGCGGAACAACATGGCTGCGCCCTCAGTAGGGCCGGTTGTTGGGTGCTGCGCCCGGCTCGGTCTCGTCCTTTTGCTGCCGCTGCTCTTGCTGCCCGGCGAAGCGGCTGGGGACGAAGAGGCCAGTGCGGGCGTGGGCGGGGGCGCGGCTTCCCTCGCGGGCTCCTGCGGTTGTGGCACTCCCCAGCGGCGCGGGGACCATGGCAGCTCGGCGGCCGCGCACCGATACTCGCGGGAAGCGAACGCCCCCGGCCAGGTTCCGGGAGAGCGGCCGCTCGCGCCCACCAAGGTGCTCTCCCGATTCCGTGAAGGCGGGTGGGGTCCGCGGGGTTCTTGGACAGGGTGGGATGGGCAAGGCAAGGGGTTTGCAGGAAGGCAAGTAAAGATTATAACCACACCCCAGATTGGGCACGTGCTGATCCGACTTGACGAAGAGTTCCTCTCCCCTCTTTGCCCCCCAGGTCGGCGGGATCTTGGGGCTCAACTTAATCCTGCGAATTAGGGAGTTTGGTTTGAGGACAGTTGACCCTCCTTTTCTTACCTCTTACTCCTATTTCCTCCTCACTCCACCCTGTCTTCCTCATGAGGTTCTCGGGCTTTTAATTTTAAGGCCGACAGATTCGTTAGTCTTGGGTTCCTGTTGTAACTGTGAAGAAATCAGGACAGTGGATCTCTGTGTCAAGATTGTTGTATTTTATCGATGGGCTCTTCTAGTAGACTCTGTTTCTTGAGGGCAAGAACTTGTCCCATTTATCTTGCTCTCCTTAGTACTATAGCACACAGGAAGGACCAAGTCAACTGTAGTTGCTTTTTTAGTGCTATTTATCTGTGCCTCACATAGTGCATGGAAGTGCTGTTAGCATACATAAATAATAACATCAGTAATAACGATTACTTCATTCTTTCCAGGTACTTTGCATATTGGTGTGGTTGTGGAAATAACTTAGGGGGACTAGAACTCAGATGTTTGACTCCTAAACTAGTGCTCCTTCTTGTGTACCGAGTACATTCTTTCCTTATTTTTTTAATCCCAGTTTTCTTTCCCATGGTTTAATTCTCAACAATATTCAGGACTTAGGTGAGAGGTAATGTCCTCCAGCAGGCCTTACCTGACTTCTTTCTTTTTCTTCCCCTGAAGGATTTCCATATGCTGCCACCAGAGTAGCTCTTTACTCTGACATTACAATTACCAAAGATACTTGTCTCAGGTGTCTTTCCCTAAGTAGGGAGTCAGGGTAGTAGGGGTTAAGACCATAACTTTTTGTCTCTGGTATAGTGTTAGGGAGCTGGTGGCTGGGCTTCTCCTTGATTCTCCATTTTGTGTAATTTTTGGCCTTTTAAATTTTCCTGTTCCTTAGAGGATGCACTGCATTATTAGTGTTTATCTTTTGTGTGGTGGGAGCCCTGGTTATTGTTGTAGTGTGTATTGGCCATACATGATTTTAATTCCTTTCTACCTTTCTTGGTATTTGATAATCAGTTCCTCCTTCCTTCAAAAGAGAAAGCCCTATGTCTTTTTTATCTGCTTTGTAACTAACAGGGTAGCTGTCTTACTGCATTTACACATTGATCTGTATCAAATTTTTCCCTAGAACCTTCTGGCTAGTACAGAACATTCTGCATTTTAAATGCTGTAACTTCCTTTTGATTTCAGAATGAGATATGGGTGCCAGTATCTTTTTTTATTTTTATCTATTTATTTATTTATTTTGCCAGTATCTTTTAAATTACATTTATAGGGCGCCTGGGTGGCTCAGTTGGTTAAGCGACTGCCTTCGGCTCAGGTCATGATCGCGGAGTCCCTGGATCGAGTCCCGCATCGGGCTCCCTGCTCGGCAGGGAGTCTGCTTCTCCCTCTGACCCTCCTCCCTCTCATGTGCTCTCTCTCATTCTCTCTCTCACAAATAAATAAATAAAATCTTTAAAAAAAAATTACACATATAAGATATACATTTTTTCCATTTCTTCAGAGTGGTTTTGTGTCAGGACTAGGTATTGTATAGGTCATTTTTGACCAGTTCTTGCATTTCCTCCCTCCCACCCTCCCTCCCTTCCTTCCTTCCTTCCATACATGTTTTTATTTTACGCTCATTTTCACTTGAATTCACTTTCTATAATGTTTGGAAGCATCCTATGCTATTAGGAAACTAGCAGTTGCTGAGAACACAGTTCACAAGCCTTCAAGGACTCAACTTAATGATTGAACCTGAAGTAGTCTTGTTGTTGAGACAAAAGACTTCACAGGAGGCAGTTCTTTATCTCTCTGATTTCCTTGGTTTCAAGTATTTTGGTTCATGTGTAGATGACTTTGGTCTAATTCTGACACTTAGCCATTTATTCTGAATTCAAGAAGTTCAGTTTATAGGAGAGGTGCATGGTTGTAGTGATAGCGCTTTTTTCCCTTAATCTTTAAAAAGTTTTTTTCTTTTTTTTTTTTTCTTTTTTCTTAAGACTTAATTTTTTAGAGGATTTTTAGGTTCACAACAAAATTGAGAGGAAGGTACAGAGATTTCCCATAATACCCCAGCCCCTACACAATGCACAGCCTCCACCATTATCGATATCTTCCACCTGAATGGTACATTTGTTACAATTGATGAGTCTACGTTAATGCATCATAATTACCAAAGTCCATAGTTTTCCTTAGGGTTCACTCTCGGTGTTATACATTCTGTAATTTGGACAAATGTATAATGATGTATATCCATCATTATCATATAGTATTGTATAGTATAGTATTTTCATTCCCCTAAAAATCCTTTGTGTCCCTCAATTCATTCCTCCTCCTCATCCCCACTGGCAATGTCTGATCTTTTTTTTTTTTTTTTTAATATATTTTGGAGAGAGAGAGCATGAGCATGGTGGATTGCTGGAGGAGGGGCAGACTCCCCATTGAGCGTGGAGCCTGAAGCACGGCTGCTCTCACAACCCTGAGATCGTGACCTGAGCCGAAATCAAAAATCAGACCCTTAACTGACTGAACCACCCAGGCACCCCTGTCTGAGCTTTTTATTGTGTCCATAGTTTTGCCTTTTCTGGAATGTCAGAGTTGGAATCATACACTATGTAGCCTTTTCAAATTGGCTTCTTGGTAATGTGCATTTAAGATTCTTCCATGTCTTTTCATAGCTTAATAGCTAATTTCTTTTTAGCTCTGAATAATATCCATTGTCTGGATGTGCCACAGTTTATTTATCTGTTCACCTACTGAAGGGCATCTTGCTTGCTTCTAAGTTTTGGCAGTTAGGAATAAAGCTGCTATAATCACCTGTGTGCAGATTTGTGTATGGGTATTTGGATAAGTGCCAAATATTTTCATAAATACCAAGGAGCACAATTGCTGTAACATGGCAAGGGTATGCTTAGTTTTCTATTAAACTGCAAAACTCTTCCAAAGTAGTTGTACCATTTTGCATTCCTACTAGCAATGTATGAGAGTTCCTGTTGCTCCACACCCTTACCAGCATTTGGTGTTGTCACTGTTCCAGATTTTGGCCCTTCTAAGGTGTGTAGTGGCTTCTCACTGTTGTTTTAGTTTGCATTTTTTGCTTGACATACGAGGAGCATTTTTGCCATCTGTGTATCTTTGGTGAGGTATCTGTTAAGGTCTTTGGCCCATTTTTAAATCAGATTGTTTTGGTTTCTTACTGTTGAGTTTTAAGAGTTCTTTTATTTTTTTATGTTATGTTAATCACCATACATTGCATCATTAATTTTTGATGTAGTGTTCCATGATTCATTGTTTGTGTATAACACCCAGTGCTCCATGCAGTACGTGCTCTCTTTAATACCCATCACCAGGCTAACCCATCCCCCCACCCCCCTCCCCTCTAGAACCCTCAGTTTGTTTCTCAGAGTCCATAGTCTCATGGTTCGTCTCCCCCTCCGATTTCCCCTGTTTTGGATAACAGATGTGTCATCTGCAAATTTCTCTCAGTCTGTGACTTACCTCCTCATTCTCTTGACATTATCTTTTGAAGAGCAGAAATTTTTAATTTTAATGAAGCCTCGTTTGGCAATTTCTTTTGTGGATGGTGCCTTTGATATTGTATGTAAAAAGTCATCACCATACCCATTGTCATCTAGGTCTTCTCCTATGTTGTCTTCTAAGAGTTTTACAGTTTTGCTTTTTACATTTGGGTCTGTGATCCATTTTGAGTTAATTTTTGTGAAGGGTGGAAGATCTGTGTCTATTATGTATGTATGTATGTATGTATGTATGTATGTGGATATCCACTTGTTTCGGCACCATTTGTTGAAGAGACGGTCTTTGCTCTACTGTATTGCCTTAGCACCTTTGTCAAAGATCAGTTGATTATATATATAGAGGTCTTTTTCTGGGCTTTATGTGCTGTTTCATTGATCTCTTTGTACTTTCACCAGTACCCACTGTCTTAATTACTGTTAAGTTTACATTAACTCTTCAAGTTGGGTAGCATCAGTCCTCTAACTTTGTTTTTCCCCTTGAGTATTGTCTTTGGCCATTCTGGGTCTTTTGCCTGTTCATATATGTTTAGAATCAGTTTGTTGATATCCAGAAAATAACTTTCTGAGATTTGGATTGGGGTTGTATTAAATCTAATTTTTAGTTTGTTTTCTGTTTATTTAGTTCAACAGATGTTTATTTGGTATACAAATTTTATAACAGTTTCCTATGTCTTGGGCATAAGGAAAAGAAAAAGACGTATGCCCTATCCTCAAGGCATTTACCATTTCCCTCTGGTAGAGGTATACTCTCTCTGGGTATGTGTCCCTCCCTCCCTTCCTTCCTCCTCCTCCCTCCCTCTCTCTCCCTCCTCCTACCTTCCTCTCTCTCTGTCTCTCTCTCCCCCGTCTCCTTTCCCCTCCATGCACAATGACCTGTAAGCATCATTTTTCCATAGTGACAATACTATAGGAGGAGTATGTACAAAGCACTTGGAGAGGAAAAAATGATTCATTCTTCCTGTACAAATTAGGAAGTGCTTCAAAGAAAAGGTCACATTAGAGCTGGGGCTTGAAGGGGACATTTTCAGAAGCTAGGGATAGAAGGAGAGATTGAAGGAGACTCCAAAAAGGGGAATAGCATGGGCACAAAGCATTGTACAAGTGCGTGATGTGTTCTGGGTAATGTTAGTAATTTAAGGTTTCTGGGGGTGACATTTTTCACACTTTTTAATGTTACACTTTATGACTGTGAGTCTTTTTTTTGTATTTTAATTCATTTAATGAGCACTTGGCAAGATGAGACACACACACACACACACAAAAATAAATAGCACTGGGGTTTACCCTCAGGGAATTTACAGT